TTCCTATCTCAAACCCAGCAAGTTTTGTAATATCACATACTTGTTCGTTGGCGCTGTATTTTCTCAATGCTTAAACATACCCTAATACAGAAAATTCTTCTTGGTTTTCTAGGCCCTTCCACATCTTCGCAGCCTTCTTCCAGTTTGTCCAGTGGCACGTAAGTTCCAGCCATTTATGGATAATCACCGGAGCTCGGGGGCATAGGCATAGAACAGGGATGGGAAATGGCGGTCCCTTTATGACTTGCGGACTTCAACTCCCAGAATTCCTGAGCCAACCATGCTGGCTCAGGAATTCTGGGAGTTGAAGTCCGCAAGTCATAAAGGGACCGCCATTTCCCATCTCTGGCATAGAAGAATGTGAAGTGCAAGTCCAGAGGACACTCTGGGACAGGGGTCTCCAACCTTGGCAACTTTAAGAGTTATGGACTTCAATTCCCAGAGTTCCTCAATCAGCTTTGCTGGCTGAGGAACTCTAGGAGTTGAAGTCTGCAAGTCTTGAAGTTGCCAAGGTTGGAGAGCAGAGCCCTGCTTTGGGAGACAGACTCTTAGTCTTCTCTCTGTTGATAAGGAACATAAGAAGGCAAGTCAGTGACCCAGCAAGAGCATATGAGCTTTGTCTTACCCATAAGCCTCTTTTAGTCCAAACCACTTTGAGTGGGAAAATGCTCAAGGCACTAGTCTCACTTCCCATGTAAATCACCCATTTAACCTTCATGCTCCAGAGATACCGATAGGCCGGTTGGCGTTATTTACTGCTGATGTTACAATTGGATTCTTTATCACCGAATGCGGACAGTCAGGTAAGTTTATCAAGAAGCAGTTTTGCTAATCAACCCCGAGGTGACTCCAGGCCAGCCATGCTGGACATACAAATGAACATTCACTTACCCCAACAGGAATCATAAAACACAAATGCAATCATTAGGAGCAAAAGGCTACAGAGCTGAAATGAGAAAAAGTCCTCTAGGCAGAACACAAACCTTGTCAAGGAAAGAAATGTATATTATTACTTTCCTTTACTGCAGAAGTTCCCTCCCCACCCCTGTTTTTCTCTGGACCAGTTACTTTTCCTTTTTGTTTTCAGTCCACAGCCTAATTTCTTCTTCTCTGCAAAGAAAAAAACGATAGAATTCATAGCCAGGGAATTCTTTCCTTCCTTTTGGTCTGGTTTGGTCATGGAAAGGGAAGCAAATTGGCCATGTGGGATCAGTAATAATAAACTTTGGACATTGCATGTTTAAGGGGGGGGGGAGAGAAAGGAAGGAAGGAAGGAAGGAAGGAAGGAAGGAAGGAAGGAAGGAAGGAAGGAGAAAGAAAACAAGAAAGAAAGAAAGGAGAGAAAGAGAAAGAAAGAAGAGAGAAAAGAAAGAAGAGAGATAAAAAGCAAAAGAAAGAGAGAAAGAAGAGAGAGAAAGAGAAAGAAAACAAGAAAGAAAGAAAAAAGGAAGGAAGGAAGAGAGAGAAAGAAAAAGAGAGAAAAGAAAGAAGAGATAGAAAGAGAAAGAGTAAGAAAGAAAGGAGAGAAAAGAGAGAAAAGAGAGAAAGAAGAGAAAGAAAGAAAGCGAGAGAGAGAGAGAGAAAGAAAGAGAGAGAGAAAGTAGGGAAGGAGGGAGAGGGGACGGAAGGAAAGAAGGAAGGGCTTGCATTGAAGACAAATAAAAGATCTTTTTGCTTATAAAAGATGCATCTTCAGCATTTTAATTTAACAATCAAGACTTCATTGTAGAAGGCAACTTCAAAGGTTCCGTTGAGCCCAAACCAAGGCACTGATTTATGGCGTATTTATTTTTCATCTTCTTTGTGGATTTTCCCACCCCACATTTTAACCTCATTATGAATGTATGAGATACAGTGAACTGAGAGATCCCTTCAAAGCCCATCCAGTGAGTTTCTATGCTGAGTGGGGGCTAAAATCTGGATCCATCTGTGACCTCTTTTATCTCCAGACAATAGGATTACCAACCTGCTGACTCAAGTGGTCAGAGTTACAGTCCGATGCTACTGGATTGGCACCAGGTTTGGGGGCGGGGGGGAGCACCAGAGCAGCTTTCTAAGTGACAGTTCATTTTGCACACAGCAAGGCTCAGGTTCATCTTAATATTTGCCATCCCACTTTGTCTTCCAACTTTGAACACCGAAGCAACTAATGCAATCATGTCAAAATAACAATGGCAGCAATATTAATTCCCTAAAACTAAATCCCACAACAGACTACTAGTGAAATTTCAAAGGCTTCTCTATTACCATTAAACCAGATGCCCCACTAACTACCACCCAAAAACCCTTCCGTAAGAAGGATGCGGCTTACATTACAGAAACTCAATCGTGGTACCAAATGCAGGGGAATTAAAACTCAACTTCATACCATTCCACTACTCCAGTAAATAGTACTGAAACAAAAGATGCAGCACATACTATAATCAAGAACAGACTGCCTTAATGCTTTCCGCTCCAAAAAGCAGCCTCTGTAGCTAAGATGACAGGATACACCCTTGAAGTGAAAAAGTTCACCCTTGCAGCCAAGAAAAGAAAACACTGGAAACTGGAATCAACATTATACAAGGCGAGCTTCGTTCTTTCACAATGGTTTGGCTAGCTTTGTCTTGGCAGATGTGTGAACCCGGCCACTAACTTTTCTTGCTCTTTCAGATGAAGATGGAGATTAAATCTGGGACCCTTTGCAGAGCATTAAATCCCTTAAACACTCCTTAACCACCAAGCTAGCTTTGGACCTTCCCACCAAGTACGTTTGCTTCTTTTACCTGGACATAGCCATGATTTGTTCCACTTTACTAACTTCTTTTAGGGATTAACTACAATCTGTTGCCCATCTCAGCTACAGTCTCCTCCCTTTGTCCTCTTCTAGATTGGAAATTCAAGAGACTCACCACAATTCTGGGACATCCCCATGCCCAGCAAATGTTCTTCCTTCCTCAAAGAAATCCAGCAAATCCTTCCCCAAATAATAATAATACTGGTTTTGTGCTTGGACAATTTCAGAGTCCTAATGGATTGACAGTTGGATGGCCAACTGCTAGAACAACTCTTCCTTGGATGACACACTTCAAAGATACTGAACCACAATTTTCGTCATCCCCAACCTTGGCTGGGAAAATGACAGCTGACATCCAAGGTATCTGGAGAACCCTGGTGGAGAAGGCCTAGTTAGGAGCAGAAGAGAAATGTGGCCAAGGAGCCAACACCCTAATCTACGAATTGGGTATGTCTAGTTTAATGAAAAGAAGGACTAGGGGAGACATGATAGCAGTGTTCCAATATCTCAGGGGCTGCCACAAAGAAGAGGGAGACAAACTATTTGCTAAAGCACCTGAAGGCAGGACAAGAAGCAATGGATGGAGACTAATCAAGGAGATAATCAACCTAGAACTAAGGAGACATTTACTGACAGAACAATTAATCGGTGGAATGACTTGCCTTCAGAAGTTGTGGATGCTCCAACACTGCAAGTTTTAAAGAAGAGATTGGACAATCTTTTTTCTGGAATGGTATAGTTTCCTGCCTGAGCAGGGGGTTGGACTAGAAGACCTTCAAGGTACTTTCCAACTCTATTATTCTGTTATTACCCCTGAACTTCTGCTGGGTTTCTTCTGATGCATCCCTGATGAAAAAGACATGTGCACATTGTCCCACTTGAGTGGTCCTCTCCTGTCCCCACCACTCAGCTCAATCTCCCCTCTCCTGCCCCATGAAGAAATGCACTCTTTTCTGGCAAATAAGACCTTCAAGACTCAAGAGCCTGTAACCTCCATCCCACCGGGGCTGACATTTCCAACTCACTCCCTTTTCTTAAAATCAATCAATCAGAATAGAGCTGGAGGTGACCTTAGAGGTCTTCTAATCCAACCCCCTGCTCAAGCAGGAGACCCTAGTCTCCTAGTCCAGTCTCTTTCTGAAAATTCCAGTGATGAAGCACCCACAACTTCTGAAGGCAAGCTGTTCCACTGGTTAATTGGTTAATTAACTGATTAATTCCACGGGTTAATCACTCGCCAGCAGGTCTCTCCTCACTCTACCTGGGGTTCAGTGTTCCTTGCCCTGCCAGTTCAATCAGAATAGAATCTGGAAGGGACCTTGGAGGTCTTCTAGTCCACCCCCTGCTCAAGCAGGAGATCCTATACCATTTGAGACAAGTGACTGTCCAGTCTCTTCTTAAAAGCCTCCAGTGATGGAGCACCCACAACTTCTGAAGGCAAAGCTGGTGAATTGTCCTCACTGTTAGGAAGCTTCTCCTTAATTCCAGGTTGCTTCTCTCCTTGGTTAGTTTCCATCCATTGTTTGTCTTGCCTTGCCTTCAGGTGCTTTGGAAAATAAGTTGACTCCGTCTCTTCTTTCTGGCAGCCCCTCAAATACTGGAACATTTCTATCATGTCACCCCTTAGTCCTTCTTTTCTCTAGACTAGCCAAATCCAAATCCTACAATATGTTTTAGTCTCCTTTCATCATCTTAATTCCTCTTCTCTGGCACTTTTTCCCAAGTCTCAACATCTTTTTGTTGTTGTTGTTGTTGTTTGGGTAACGTGCTGACCCAAACTGGATGCAGAAATCCAGGTGTGGTGTGTTCTCCTAAAGCGGTACTCATTACTTGCAAGCTTTTGATTCTATGCCTCGGTTTATGCAACCAAGGGCTGTTTGTAGAAATCCCTCCCACCCCGGAGTGAAACAGCCCCCCCTCTCTTAAGCCATTACAAGACTCGCCCCGCTGTGCGCGTCTCCCGATCGCCCCAAATCTCTCTCCCCAGGAAGATCACCTTTCTCCCGGGACCCGGGGAAGGTAGCCCTCCTCCTCCAAGGCGACCTGCTCGCCGGCGGGGAGTGGTGGGGGAGGGAAGAAAGAGCCGCGGAGTCGGAGATCCCTGCCCCACCCACGAACCGACGGTCCCGAACCTCCACTCCCTCCACTTACATCGTCCCTCCCCCGCCACTCTCCCTTCCCTTTCCGTAGGACCCCGGCCAGCCCCGCCACTCCCCCCTCTTACCGCTCCTTCGGCGAGTCCATTCACTGGAAAGTCCCGTCTCCTCTCCTTTCTTTTTTCTTTTCCTCCTTCTTTCTTTCTCGCTGGCGACTCCAGAGAAAGGGACAGAGGAGAGTAAGGGGTTCCCCGCGATCGGAGCGCCTTCTCTTTGCCCGCGCCGTCCGTTCCCCCGCTTTTCCCTTCAGCAGCCTGACGGACGCTGGGCAGCGGGGAAGGGCCGGCCGAGGAGGGGGGGCGTGATCGACCCAGACGCTCAGCCCCCTTTCTCCCCCCTCCCACCCCTCCTCTTTCCCAAAGCAGCCGCTCGTGCGGGAGGGGGGGAGCGCCGGCTTCGCCTTGGCAGGATCTGGAAGCGCGCGGGAGGGAGGGGGGCGGCGGCGGGTCGGGAGCGCATTGTCTGGAGGCTGGGGGCGGGCGGGGAGGGGGCGGGGCTCCGTCAAGCCCCTCCCCCTCCCCACAGGGTTGGATTCCAAAGCAAAACGCCTTCCCCCCCCCACCGCCCCACTCCCACTTCCAGGCGTCGATCCAAGAATGGACGCCTCTCGCGACGTGGGAAAGCGAGAAAGGCGTTTTCCCTTCGCGGAAGGGAGAGATCGGGCGGGAGCGGAATCCCCAAAAGAAGGAATCTGTTTGGCGTCTAGGGGAAAGTGTGGGGGGGAAGCGGGAGGAATCGTTCTCGGGTGGGGTTGCGAGGCTCGGTCTATCTCCTAGGAAGCGGGGTCGGCAAAACACGAGTCTTTAAAAATCAAATTTAAAAAAAGTTTCTAGCCCGCGTCGGGGCTCAAAAGGATGTCCGAACGAAGCGATACAATCGGACGGGAGCTCTTTAAGGGAGATCCCTTGAGAAACGGAGAAAGAGCGAGTTGACTTAGACCTAGAATAACTTTATGGTGACTTTAAATGTACACTAATGGGCATGCATTAAAATGAAATTTCGTGGCATACAGCTCTCCAAAGGGTCACCACCTCCAATGTACATGGCATAAACATGACAAGATAGATAGATAGGTAGGTAGATGATAGATGGATGGATGGATGGATGGTAGATAATAGATAGATATATAGATAGACAGACAGACAGATATAGATTAGATAGATATATAGATATAGATTAGATAGATAAATATATAGATGATATTTAGATATTTAGATAGATAAATAGGTAGATGATAGATAGATAGATAGATAGATAGACAGACAGACAGACAGACAGACAGATACCCACATCTGACAGAAACAGTACAGTCTAGCTCGGATGTATATATGTACATGGTGAGAAAAACAATCTGGCCGCCAACTCATATATGTTTATACATATACACACTGATGTGTGTGTGTAAACTCGCAAGATTCATTTTTCTTACCATGTACACATATACATCTATGCATCCGAACTATATATATAAAATTTATGCATATACCCACAAACACATATATTATACAACATAGAGGCACAACACAGTCTGACTGACAATCTTAACCGGGGGTTAATTTTGGGATAGGGCTTATATTACGAGCATCCTGAAAAATCATGCCACAGTTTATTTTCAGATTGGGTCTTTTAATTTTTGGGGAAACACCTTATGAGCTAGGTGCCAAGCCTCCCAAAGGAAAGTCATAAGTGTGAAAAACGATCACCAATCAATTTTTTCAGTGCCATTGTAACTTTGAACAGTCACTAAACGAATGGTTGTAAGTCCAGGACTACTTACATTCTCAAACGTCTCTCATCTGTGAGCTAAGTAACAAGCCAAGTACAGCAACTTAACATTTCATTTCTGTATGTAACTGATGGAAATTAAATGCTCTATTTTTAATGGGCACTGAGAGTAATGGACATCTGTTCCCACAGATAATCTGTTTCACCTGGAGTCAGTCTCTGTAATATAATTTATTTCTAGGCTACAGACAACCATGTGTATAACTCGACTGCTCGGGCTCTGTTTACATGAGAGCAGATGGGGTCTGCCACACAGGGACACACATAGGGGCGTTCACCTGTGACACATGTTAACGGTGTAGCTACCGTCACAACCATCATCTGCAGTGGTGGGATTGTAACAACCGGTTCTCTGCCCTAATGACTGGGTGCTGGGTGGTGTGGACAGCATGTGTGACAGGCAGCACTCAGCCTCCTGCACCCTCCTGGTGCACTGCCCTCCGGTGCCCCATTTTGGGCCTAGTAAGACTCCCTGAAGCCTCCTGGGAGTGAAAATGGGCCGTGGGGGGCTGTGTCACCCATGCATCGTTTTGGGCCTATAGGCTACCCTGCACTGACTGGGAGCCAAAATGGGGCACGTGGGGACTCCTGGAAGGGGAGGGGCAGGGCCAATCAGCAATTTAACTACCGTTTCACCCAAACCAGCTGAATCTCACCACTGATCATCTGTATTTTCACTTCTACCCACTAATGCCATAAACCAGCGGCCTACAACCTTTTGGGCACCAGGGACCGGTTCTATGGAGAGAGATTTTTCCACGTACCGGAGGGTGTGTGGTTTTACATGCTTCCTGCATCTGCAGATGGGGCTTTGCTTTTTTGTGGGGCCTGGTTTCTGGCATGCCATGGCCTGGTACCAATCCATGGACCAGGGGCTGGGGTCCCCTGTCATAGACCAACCTTTATTTAAGAGCACATTTTCTAGCACATATTTTGGTGTGAGCATGTTCAAATCAGGGCACTGCTGAGTTCTGTGGCAGGATTCATTACGCTAAGGCTTAAAGTGTGGTTTGTTGACTTTGGGCTGAATGTAATGTGTGATCCAGATACTGAGATTAACAGAATTGGAAGGGACCTTGTAGGTCATCCAGTCCAACCCCCCGCCCAAGTAGGAGACCTTACACCATTTCTGACAAATGGCAGTCCAATCGCTTCATGAAAGCCTCCAGTGATGAAGCTCCCACAACTTCCGAAGGCAAAGCTGTTTCATTGGCTTGATTGTTCTCATTGTCAGAAAAATTCTCCTTATTTCCAGGTTGAATCTCTCCTTCATCAGTTTCCATCCATTATTCCTTGTCTGGCCTTCGGGTGCTTTGAAAAATAGCTTGATCCCCTCCTCTCTGTGGCAGCCCCTCAAATACTGGAACAGTGCTATCGTGTCTCCCCTGATCATTCATGTTTTAAGACTTAGAATTATGTGTCAACCAGAGCAGAATGATTTGTTTTCAGTAAACTATGATTTAACACTATCTTAACTGTGGTCTTATTTGGATGAAACTTTTAGGTTATATAGGGAGCTTGGGAAATAGGCCTGAACCGTGGTGGCGCAGTGGTTAGAATGCAGTATTGCAGGCTAATTCTGCCAACTGCCAGCAGTTCGATCTTCACCAGCTCAAGGTTGACTCCGTCTTCCATCCTTCTGAGGTCGATAAAATGAGGACCCAGATGCTTGGGGGCAATAGGCTGACTGCATACCCTCGGTTTTTCCTGATAGTTCTATATATCTTCTGATAGTTCTATATATCTTCTCTTCCACTGAAGAAGAGTGCTAAGTAAAAAGAAAATTACAGGGAGTCCTTGACTTATGACCAGAATTGAGCCCAACATTTCCGTTGTTAAGTGAGATGTTTGTTAAGAGAGTTCTGCCCCATTTTATGGCCTTTCTTGGTGCAGTTGTTAAGTGAATCACTGCAGCTGTTAAGTTAGTAACTGGGTTGTTCAGTGAATCTGCCTTCCCCATCAACTTGCTGGTCAGAAGGTCGCAAAAGTGAATCACGTGACCCTGGGACCCAACAACAGTCATAAGTATGAACCAGTTGCCAAGTATCTAAATTTTGATCACATGATCCTAGGGATGCTACAAAGGTCATAATTGTAAAAAATGGTCATAAGTTATTTTTTTTCAGTGCCGTTCAGTAACTTTAAGCGGTCATTAAATGAACTGTTGTAAGTCAAGGACTACCTGTATTGAGCCTCAGTGGCGCAAGTGGTTAGAGTGCAGTACTGCAGGCTACTTCTGCTGACTGCTGGCTGCCTGCAATTTGGCAGATCGAATCTCACCAGGCTCAAGGTTGACTCAGCCTTCCATCCTTCCAAGGTCAATAAAATGAGGACCCAGATAATTGGGGGCAATAGGCTGACTGCTTAAAGGGGCTGGAAAGCACTATGAAATGGTATATAAGTCTTAAGTGCTATTGCTATCTGTCTTAATGTCAGATAGTAAAAATACACATCTGATGGAACTGGATGGCTAATATCAATCAATCAATCTAATAATGATAACCTGTCATTATTAGACTGTTCATGGTTTTCAGCTATAACAGGTCTCTTTAGCAGAGACATGTGAGCACAAGATACTCACATGCAGAATTGAGCATTTCTTCCTGGGATTGCTGACACTGCACAAAGTTGTTGTTGTGAGGAAAATAGGAGGAGGAAGGTGTGTTGGATATGTTTGCCACCTTGAGCTACTTGTAAAAATAAATAAAGGCAGGATACAAATAAACAAAATCAAAGTGAGGAACAACCATACAATAATTCAGATGAGAAGCAGCATTCACATACCATATACAGTATGGAACATCACACCAATGAAGCTTAAATATTCAGGCCTGTCTGTCATTATTTATTTGATATACCCTGCTGCCTCATCTGTTGGAGTGAATTTTAATGGTTGTGGTTGTGGTTTTGTTTTTGGGTTTTGTTTTTTTTTCATTTATATTTGGAGACATAGGCATGGAGTTCTGGAAAGTCCATTTGTAAGCCGCCCAGAGTCCTCGGACAGTTGGGCAGCATAGAAATACGAAAAATACATACATACATACATACATACATACATACATACATACATACATACATATATACAGTCTTTTTTTTAACAACAGCATGGGGTGTTTGTTCGTCTAGTGTTTGATGAGTTTGGTAAGGCCACACCTGGAGTCTTGCATCCAGTTTTAGTCACCACATTACAAAAAAAGATGTTGAGACTTTGGAAAAAGTGCAGAGAAGAGCAAACAGGATGATTAAAGGCCTGGAGACTAAAACATATATGAAGAACGATTGCAGGAACTGTGTATGGCCAGTCTAGAAAAAAAGAAGGACTAGTGGTGACATGATAGCAGTGTTCCAGTATTTGAGGGGCTGCCACAAAGAAGATGGGGTCCATTTATTTTCCAAAGCACCAGAAGGCAAGACAAGAAACAATGGATGGAAACTAATCGAGGAGAGAAGCAACCTGCAATTAAGGAGAAACTTCCTAACAGTGAGCACAATTAACCACTGAAACAGTTTTGCCTCCAGAAGTTGTTGGTGCTCCATCATTGGAAGATTTTAAGAAGAGACTGGACAGTTACTTGTCTGATATGGTATAGGGTCTCCTGCTTGAGCAAGGGGCTGGACTAGAAGACCTCC